GTTTACAGGAACAGCGGGGCAGATGCTGACTTAGACAGAGAAGGACTCTGGACAGGGTGGCCACTGACCTGACTCCCGGGAGAAGATCTGTGGGAGTCAGCACTGGAAGGACAGGGAGAAAGGGGCAGTTGGGAGATAAAGTGTCACGGTGCAGGCTGATGTCACTCCTGGGAACGGGTGACCTGGAAGGGACCCAGGGGAGAGGACGGTGGGCTGTGGACAGTGAGGGCCCCCAGGGAGCTGGGGGACTTCTGGTGATTCTGCCCAGGGCACAGAGTGCAGAGAGGATGGAGGCCCAAGACACACAGCTGTCTATGATGCACGATGGTGGGGAGAGACCAGAGTGTGGATGGCAATGACCTGCAGGCTGGGCAGGAGGGGCATGGAAGCAGAGTCTCATTGCTAATATTGTTAGTGTCAGGGGGAGTCCTGAACTCAGCCAGGACACAGTGAAAGATAAAGAGGGACTTTCAGTGCCCAGGTGCCACTGCCCTGTCCCCACGTCCCCAAGGCATTGGGCTCAGGCTCATTCTAGGGCTCATTAGGGGTCTGCTGAAGACAGCACCAGGTCCTCTGCAGTCCTTGGGCCCAGCGTGACAGGAGTCAGCCTGTGAGTGTCCTGGCCAGTGCGAGGCTGAGCTGCAGCCCTCAAAGGAACCACGAGGGAGCTTGCACGTTATAAAGGGAAACATATGAGTCCAGCATAAGGAACGCATTAAGACGGGGTAGGGGGAGGCAGCCTCCTTCCACGCGCATTATCCTTGAGATATACACACTCTCTCACACACATGTGCACAGCCTGTTCAACTCTGCCTCCCATTTTTCCACTGCCCCAGAAGACATAGGACTCAAAATGCCTCTGCCAGGCCACATGCATGTTTTCTGGCTTGAAATTCCTGGAAGCTGCTCCTTGTGTAAGGGAAGGGGAGACCCAGAGTCCCTGCGGATGCTGGGATGGTGACTGAGTGGGGATCCCTGCTCCCTGGCAGGCCTGGGGGAGCACAGGGCTAGAGGTGCCCTCAGTTTTACTGCCATGAGACCGACTCCAGACAGAAGCCAAGGAAGGTGTTCACCCCGCTGGTGTGAGCCCTGGGTGGACAGCAGTCGAGGCCACCCCAGGTCCCAGCTGCCTCATGCAGGCCGCCACCCGCGGAGGGTCTGGCTGGGCTCGCATTGCTGGCTGGACCGGGCTGCCTGTCATTGGCTGGTTCAGAGATAATGACTTTCACATGCACTGCGGGTTGGGGGAGAAGGCCAGGCAGGGCTAGAAGGCCCTGGAAGGAACAGGCCGGAAGGAGCGGAGGAAGCCGTGCTTGTCCTGGGCCCCAGGCGGCACCTTCCCCAGAGCCTGGCCCCCACATCCTCCGTGGGCTCCCAGCCCTCCCTGGCCCTAACCCCGTGATTCACAGGTCCACCACTTCCCCGGGGAGCCGCTCCCTTGGCTGGATGTGCGGCCAGCCCGGGCGGAGGCGCTGGGCAGCTGTGGACCCAGACGGGTGTTGACGGGAGCTCTGTGGCCGCGCAGACAGGAGGGGCTGCAGCACTTGGCTTCTGGCACCCACCCACCAACCAACCGGGAGGAGAGGCCGCGGGAGGAGGGAGCAGGGTGTTCCCGGGCTCGCAGCGCCCCCTAGCACCGGCTGGCGGGATAAGGCTGGGGAGCCCCACGGCCAGGAGCTGCCATGCCACCTGCCCGATCCAACGTGGGTCAGCACACTGGTCATCAGACCTGCCAGCCCACACTTCACTCCTTGTAACCAGCACTCGGTAACTGTCCCCCAAGGCTTCTGTCCTCAAGTCCAGGAAGAAAAGCAGACAGACGAGCAACCACGCCAGAGCCACCTAAGTGTGGCACGAGGCCGTGCAAGGGCTGGGGGTACGTGGGAAGGGCATCAGAGGCTTCCCGGAGGAGGTGGCATCTGAGGTGAGCTTTGCAGGATGTGCAAGAGCCAGGGGGTTCTGCAGCCAAGCGACCCTACTCTTGGCCTCCTAATACGCACTGTCCTAAGAGATGGAGTGGTGGCAGAATCTAGCTCTGCAGAAATGAGCCTCCCCTCAGCTCCCCTGCACCTTGGCCACCGCAGGTTCCCTGAGTGGCTGCATCTCCAGCCTGGACTCTTGGGAGTGAGTGCACAGGGAGCTCAGGAGGAGCCATCTGAGCCCGGCGTGCTCTTCCGTTTTGGCACCTTGCCTGCATGCCACACAGCATGACCTGGCTCTCTGTAGGACATTCGTCTGCCCCCTAGAATGACCACCCCATGGAAACTCGCCTGCCCCACCGAGGGCAAGCAGCTGCGTGTCCTGGAGGCTCTGCACTTGACTCTGCTTCTCGCCCTCTCCAGGCTCCTTGATCTCCAGAAAGAAAGTCTTGTGTGCCTCTACGCGATATGCCTGGAATGTCTTCAGAGGCCTTGAGAGCAAGTCAGCACGGGAGCGAGTGCACACGGAGAAGATAAAGCTCCAAGGGCACAGCCTGTCCCCCAGTCGGCACAGGCCCTGCTGTCACCGGATGCACCCAGGATGATCTAACCAGTGCTGGCGGGCATTCCCCCTGGGCAGACCCGCATGGCCATGAGGAGGATTTGCCTGCAGAGCTGAAAGGCAGGGTCTGAGTGGCCAGGGATGGTGAGGCCACAGTCATATGTCACCACTGGGGCCCCGAGACCCCAGTGTGATTGAGACGGGAGGATAAGGAGCCGCAGCTGCAGCGTGCTCTTTGCTCTGCCGCCATCTGATTGTGACCTCTGCGGGCCCCCTCTCCTGCCCAGCCCTGTGTTCCTTTGCTGGCAAACTGATGGGTCTTCCCTGAGGTCCTTGTCATGACCTCCTTGGTGTCTAAGGCACCTTGCGATCTGACACTGAGAAGGAGGACAGGGCTGCACTGTTCCTAGGACAGGCCCAGCAATGGGGACAACAGGTCACCCTGGGGGCTGAGGACTGGACAGATGGACGTGGGAACTCCTGGAGTCTGCCCCAGACTTAGGCACTGACATGCTTTCAGCCGTCAGCAAGCAAGAGGGCTGTGTCTCCCTTCCTAGCGCTGGTGCCAGGTCAGGTGACAGGACCTGAGGGAGCCCTTCTTGCCTGTGACTGGTCATCATCCTGGCCACGACCACGAGGTCTTCTTGCTGCAGGGACCTGCAGGAGGCCTCTAGAGCTGCTCCCAGGCGGGCAGAGGGGAGCCTCTCAGCGCATGCACAGGGAGCGCTTCCTAACTGAAGGCTCTTGGCGTCTTTGACCCCCACACAGCTGTGTGGATCAGCTTGAGAGACATGGAGAGGGGATATAAACTGGAAGGCAGGTTCGTGCCTCTCCCCCGGAGGGAGGCTCAGACGGTGCCTGCACTTGCGTAGGGGAACCCACTGCCAGTGTCCGGCTAAGTCCCAGCCTGACACTCACAATCCAGGGATGGTGTTGCCTGGGGGACACACTGGCACTCTGGATAAAACTGTAATGGAAGAGAGTGAATGTGCCCACAGGTAAGGTGCTTATCCAAAGTGGATTTGGCCTAGGAAGACCTCTAAAGCCTTCCACATGACTGGCACCATGTGGGTTTCCATCAGTCTCTCAAATCCCACCAACTATGTCCTCCTTCAGCCTGGCTCCCTGGGGTGGCCCCACTGTACCTGTGGTGAGCTCTATGGGCGCCACCAGCCACACCACGACTCCTGGGACCTACTTTTGTACTCTGAGGGCTAAAAAGCAGCTTGGCCAACTATCCCAGAACTCAAAGTGTTGGCAGGATGGCCGGGGATGTAAAGCAACCAGCCCCCGGGGACAGTGCTGGGAAAAGGTCAGTGGGAGCCAGCCCCTTGGGGGAGGCCGCTGGCTGAGCCAGGGGCACAGGGTCTGGGACTGGTGGGGTGGCACAGACAAACGCAGAGCTGCCTTCCCTCTGCAGTGACAGCCATGGTGGCCGGGAAGAGGGGGTTTCAACAAAGGACTTCAACAAAGTCCTTAAAATCCCACTGCCCACATTTTCACTTCTGCCTCCAGTATCAGAGCAAGAGGCTTCTCCAGCTGTGTGCAGGCCAGGGAGAGGAGCCCCATAGGAGCGGGCATTTGCAGTTGGGTTCCACTGCTGCTCACTGCCGGGGTGAGAAGCATCCCCACAGGACACAGCAGCTGGGAAGGGGTTGCACAGTGGGCCCTTGGGCTGGCTTGGAGGGGCCCCAAGAGCCATGAGGAGGTGAGGTCAGGCGTCTGCTTGGGAACAGAAGCAGCGGCCTCAGGAGCCATCCCCTGGGAAGCTCAGCACCCAGCACTTACTGGCCACCACCTGTGGCCCTGGATGGCCCCCGATCTGTCTTACTCCAGTTTTGGGTCAGCTCACCCCCAGTTCCCGGCCGACGTGCGGAAACCAGTGCTCCTTGTCCTCCCTGCCCTCTGCCCTCACACGTGCCTGGGGTTCTGCCCCAGTTCTCCCTGTCACCGGAGTCATGGCGCACTGCTGTGGTCATTTTCAACTTGTGACTTTGCTTTTGGTTTCCCATGGCACCCCAGGAAACTGCCCTGGACACTGGTGGATTTCCACACAGTAAAGGCTTGCTTAGTCCTGCTCCCGAATCCTAAGCAGTGTTAGTTGAATGAGTACACCCCGGAATGTGCTTCAGAGGAGCTCAGGTAAAGATATCTGACACCGCCGACTGCAAGGGGCAGATGGCTCCAAGTGCCACAGAGGAGGGAGAAAAGGCCAGAGGGAGAGAGAGCTGTCCCTCTCCAGGCCATCTGGGAAAGCGGGGCCTCATCCCGCCTCCGAGCGTGGTTGAGCTCTGGGCGCGGCCGCGGGGCGTAGTGCAGCCCTGGTCCCCATCCTCACTCAGAGCCCCGACCCACCCGCGCCCAAGCCGCGCTATTCCCTATAAGGCTCGGAACTGAAGTGCCAGCCCCGCCCCGCCCCCTTTTCGGAGGGCGATGAGGTAATGCGGCGCTGCCATTGGGCGCGGCGCGCGTGGGGCGGGGCTCCTGCGAGCCGCCTGCTATATATCAGTCCGGGCAGCGCCGCGGTGGGGCAGTGGCGCTGGTGCTCCGCTTTTCCTCGCGCTCCTCCTGCTCGAGTCGGCGCAGTCCCGGCTCCAGCCCGGCTTTACCCCGAGCCCTCCGTCCTCCCCTCCGACCGGGGATCCTTGCGCCCCCGCAGCGCACCCTCAGGCCCGGCCGAAGCACCCCAAGACCAGGAGCAGCAGCGCGGTCCGCAGGCGATGGCTCCCTGGCTCGGGCTGGTCGTACTGCTGGGCAGCTGGAGCCTGGGGCCCTGGGGCGCCGAGGCTTGCACGTGCTCGCCCAGCCACCCCCAGGACGCCTTCTGCAACTCCGACATCGGTGAGTGCCGGTCTCGGTCCCGAGTGCCTGTGGTGGCCACCCAGGCTCCCAGGCCAGTGCCAACGCTTCTCTGCTTCTTCGTAGGAGCTGCAGCTCTGCGCGCGGCTGCCTGGGGTCCCCTCCGACTCGAGCCCCACAGGCGGGACACAGGGGCGCGTGGAACTTGGGGCCTGCGGCATTGAGGGGACCTGGGAGCTGTGGGTGACCGCCCCCTCCCCCAGTCCCTGTCTGAGTGCAGTACAGCTTCAGGGGCAAGGACCCTTGAGCCAGGGCTGCGACACTCACCCAGGGCTTGGTGTGTGTGTGCAGGGATGAGAGGTGTGTTCCTTTAGGAACAAAGATGACAGGGGTCACACTGTGGGGACAGTCCCCAGCTGGACTTTGTATCTGTGTGAGAGGTGGGATGTCCCAGCAGGACATGTTCCGGAGTGTTGGGAACGCCTGCATTTGGAGGGCTGGAGCTGTGGGCCAGCTGGACGCATCGCTGTCCTCCCGCCCAGCTCACGAAGTGTGCGTCCAGTGTCCTTGTTCTGTGTGGCATGTTATCTCGTGAGCTGCTGTGTTTGGAGTGCTGTCCCTTGTCGCTGCTGGTGGGGCACCAGTGCCGTGTGCCTGCTGTGTGCACACGGGACAGTGCCGTGTCTGTGCCGTGCAGGTGTGCAGCCCTGTGCCCCTGCTGTGTGCATGTGAGGTGGTGCGGAGTCCCCACTGTGCAGGGTGCTGTCCCGAGTTCCTGGCATGTGCACAGGATGGCGGGTGGGACGCGGCAAAGGAAGGCGCTCGTGTGTCTGAAAGCAGCTGTGAAGGGGGAACCCCAGGGACTCTGCGAGGGACTCTGCAGGGTGTGTGGTGCAGGCCGTGCGCACAGTGTCAGGGTTTGGGAAGGGCACGGCCTCAGGGTGGCTGTGGCGACCTGGTTGGTGCAGCTGGCAGTGAGGGTGCTGAGGCTCCTGGGACCATAGCCACAACCTTGCCTGATGGGGACCTGTGGCGCTGGGCAGACAGTGCCTGCCCCATCCTTCTTTCAGGCTGTTGAGGAGGCCTGGGAGGTTTTACCCTCCGCCCTCCCGAGCACCTCCACCCACCTCCCTTGGCTGGCTCTGTCACCACGGTTGGGGTGGTGCTGCTTGCTTCTGGTTCTGTTTCATGAGGGCAGCGGGCCGGAGGCAGCAGGTGGACTCAGCCACAGCCTGTTGTGCTGGAGCCGGCCGGGTGTGTGCAGCTGGATTTTGGGGCCTCTCTACTTGCTCTTGCTTTGGGGGCTCCAGTTTGGATGTTTGGGGGCACAGTGGGACAGGAGCCTGCAGACTCTGCGTCCCCAGGCCCAAGACCTTGCCACCTGCTCACTCTCCACTTCCAGTTCCTGCTGCCGGCTGGGCTGGTGCAGGGGCCGCTCTTCGTTTCCCTGCCTGTGTCCAGACCCAGCTCTTTCTTCCCCCTCTTCAAGTTCCCTGAGAAAAACTCAGGGATCCAGAAGTCCCGCAGACCCAGGACGGTGTAGTAGAGAGAAGCAAGGAAGGGGCGCGCGCCCCTGTGGTGGCGCAGGTCCAAACTTGCTGGCCTGGGCTTGGTGTGCGGCCCTGGAGGCCTGATGAGCTCATGCTTTTAAAAATGGGAGGTGCGGGTGTGGGCGCGGGCTTGTTGACCTCTTGCTGCCTCCCGAGTACTCTGCTGGCCAGTAGGTGGCTCCTGACTGGCCCGCTCAGGCCTCTGGTCTGGGGCCGGGTGGGAGCTGGCTGGGGAAGGCAACATGCCAGGGAGGTGCCCATGCCCCCGCAGCCCTGCCACCCAGGGCAGAACCCAACTTCCTCTTCCAGATCTTTCCTAGTGGCCTCTCCTGCTGGCCAGCGCCCTGCTGCCCTGGCCCCGTGAGGCTCCTCACCCACAGGTGTCTCTTTTCCGTGCTTTCCTAGAGCCCCAGACACAGCCGCCTGGGCCAGGAGGAGTTAAAGGGGTTTCCATGGCAACTCCGGCCCTGCACCCCTCGAAGTGTTTGGGAGAAGAATAAACTACATGCCGGCGTATCAAACGCACGGTGGGGCTGACCCGGGGCTTGGCAGCAACCACCATGTCTGTGTCCCCTCCGCAGCCCTCACTGCCTCCAGACCCCCTAACAAAGCCTGACTCTGGGACGGCCCGCGGGGGCTGGGAATGCAGGAGGCGCCTTGGCTGGGCACAGCCTGCCCTGGCAGTGCCCAGCTGGGGAAGGGTGGGCAGCGCCAAGAGCTTCCTGAAAGTTGTGTGTGTATGTTTGCACACTTGTGTGTGGCTTTGTTGGGGGGGCGGCAGAGAAGAATCTGGCTGCAGAGCTGAGCTCCCTTGCAGGGAGCAGCACCAGGGCCCGGGGGCCTTGGGAGCTGCATGGGGGGTGCGGGTGGGGCGGGTGCCAGCCCTGGAGATCAGCCCTGGGCATCTTGAGCTGTTCTGACAGGGCCCACTGCCAGCGGATTCCTTTGGTATCAGATCTGGACTTGTGGTTTCAGCGAAGAAGCCATTTTCAGGGAAACCAGACCCCTTCTCTCTCTCTGTTACACGGTTATGCCCCAGCCCTGGGCTTAGTGGCCAGAGCAAAGAGAAGGACCAAACTGGAGAGAAGCCAGTTGCACGGTGGGGGACGGGGACTCAGGAGAACTCTGGAGAGAGGGGGCTGCCGCCGGGCTGGAGGAAAGCACAGCTTCTCACAGACTTTCTTTCCCATCCGCCTGGCCACCGGCAGTGTAGACACTGCGCCCAGTTTTCAGATGGAAACTGCTGAGGCAGAGAAAGGGCCTGCATGCCAAAGGCTACCCAGCCGCTGAGTGGGGAGGCTGCTGACCGTCTTTGTTACGGCACCGCGCAGAAACATTCTACCTTCACTGATTCTTGGTCATCTAAGGCAGTGACGTCCCTAGGACTGAGGGAATGGGTGCTTGGTGCTGGACCAATGCTTTCCTTCTGGGTTTGGGGAGTTTTTTTCAAAAATCTGAAGCAGCCAAAGTGGCCAGGGGTTTTAGTGAAACAGCACCTTCTGGGAAGATGAAATGATCATTGTTAGCATTTTTATACTCTATAATGGAAATGTGTGCGATACTCTAGTTGTTCTTGGGCTACTGGAACCGCAAGGGGCCCCCAAACCACCCAGCCTGGCTGAAAACGGGCTCAGTTTGTCTCACTGAGGCAGGGAGAAGTTTCGGGTCTCCCTCTGTGGGGGGGTCCCCAGGGGAGCTGCCCAGGTTGGGCCACGAGGTGAGGCAGGTCCTGGAAGGCAGCAGGAGCCTGGGTCCCGCTGGGGAAGGTGCTGCTCTGACCTTTCCGCGTCCCTGTGCCAGCCCCGGTACACAGGCCTGGGAGAGCGACCTGCGGAAGTGGCTGGGGGCGCGGTTCCCTTTGTTTTGCAGGACTGGCAGGAAGCTGCTGACCGTACATTCCAACAGGTCGTTAATTCAAAACAACAACAGCAACACTATGATGGACGATGCTGCGATTCTGCATCGTGGGCAGCGTTTCCCATTCCTGCCGGTGTGGACAAGGAGGCCCTTCCTGTGGCCTTTGTCATGGCAGCCCTGGGATGTCCATGAGGGACAGAGTGGGATGGGCGCAGGGCCAGGGGTCTGGGGCAGCTCTGGGCTGGACCCTCCCTTAGCGCTGGGGGGCTGATTGTGCTTGGCCGTGTTGGGGGACATCACGGTGCTCAGGTTCCCCGGGGGTAAAAAGCAGATTACAGTCTGCAACCTCTCTGACCCTCTTTAAAATCACCAGTTTTGGTGTGTCCTGTGTCCGTGCACGAGGGTGGCACCCCTCATCGTCCAGTCCAGCGTGCATTCTCCTGCGTCTCGCTTTCCATTGTCACTGTCCAGTCCCCTGGGTCCCTGCTCTGTTCTGGTCCCTTGTCCCACCTGCTCCTCCACGTGTTTCCAGGCCCAGGCACCCGCAGAGAAGGTGGAGCTCTGCCCCGTAGACACACGGATAGCACACGGCTGCACGCACTGCATTACCGAGCATAGCACGCGTTTTAAACCTAACAGCGTGTACCAGTTTCCTCGGGTACTGCAGGATCCACGGGCCGTCATTTCTGAAGCTTTACCTGCACAGCGGTGACTGTGTTTGGCACCACTCTAGGTCCTTAACATGCATTAACCCATTTAACCGTGAATGGTGCTGTAAGGCAGGACTGCTTGTATTTTAGAGCTGCGGACACTGAGGCTGAAGGGAACACTGCTGTGACGGACCAGAGCCCGCACTAACCCCTGCTGCCTGGCTCTGAGAGACGTCCAGCGGTCCTGTACCTCAGTGCCTGCCTCACATGGTACATCACTGCGTGCGGTCACAGAGCTGCAGTGCGTCCTGTCTGTCCACGCAGACCTGACGTGGCTATCTCCTGTCCGTGGGTTTCCAGGTTCTAACGGCTCTTCACTCCCCTCGGGGTTCTGGAGCACATGGTTGTTGTACAATCTTTTTGTTCGTGTGGACAAGTATTTTTCAGGGCAGTGATTCCTTTGGAGTTACTACTAGGCACCAGGTCTGCGCCGTTTCCCCGGGATGGTCCTGGCCTCATGGCCCCCAGAGTGGCCACGCTCCTTTCCGGGGTGCGGCGTCAAGGAATCCTGGGGCTCTCAGCTGTCTCCAGATACCTGGCTACTTCTCTTACATAGAAAAACAATGAGAGTTTATTGATTTTTCTGAGGTTTTGTTTCTTTCTCTTTTTGCTCACTCCTTTGTATAAAGACACAAAGAAAGGGCACAGAATTAGGGCCGGAATGAGACCCAGTTAGTGGGGGAGCTGCTGCTGCTTGGAGAATTCAGCCTGAGACGGTTTAGGTTTCTGCTTTCTATGTCAGCAGCCTTTTATCCCAGGGAGTTGTGTGCCCAAATGCAGGGCCAAAGGCGGACGTGGTGAACACGCGTGGTGGGGTTTGCTTTCTGCCTTTGAGCTGTGTTCCTGTGTCCCCTCCCCGCCTCCTCGCTGTTGCACTGGGATGGAGGTAAGAGGGTGGCCGGAAGGATGAAGATGGACCCTGAGA